GTCCATTTCCGTGTTTCCTGCAGAGACCTACACCGCTGCAGTCTACAGCTTTCGGTTCAAGGTTTCCTGCAGAGACTGAGACCGCTGCCGTCTACAGCGGTCCATTTCCATGTTACCTTTTGAGACCGTGACAGCTGCCATCTACAGCTTTCGATTCAATGTTTCCTGCAGAGACCATGACAACTGCCGTTTACAGCTGTCCAATTCCGTGTTCCCTGCAGAGACCATGACAACTGCCATCTACAGCGTTCCATTTCCGATTTTCCTGCAGAGACCTACACTGCTGCAGTCTACAGCTTTCGGTTCAAGGTTTCCTGCAGAGACCGCGACTGCTGCCGTCTACAGCGGTCCATTTCAGATTTTCCTGCAGAGACCGCGACCGCTGCCGTCTACAGCGGTCCAATTCCGATTTTCCTGCAGAGACCGTGACAGCTGCCGTCTACAGCTTTCGATTCAAGGTTTCCTGCAGAGACCGTGACAGCTGCCGTCTACAGCGGTCCATTTCCGTGTATCCTACAGAGATCTTCACCGCTGCCGTCTGCAGCGTCTCAAGCTGTAGACGGCAGCGGTCTTGGCCTCTATAGGAAACCTTGAACCGAAAGCTGTAGAAGGCAGCTGTCTCAGTCTCTGTAGGAAACCCAGAAATGGACCGCTGTGGACGGCTGTTGAGACAGCTGTCGTCTACAGCGGTCCATTTCCGGAGACTAACCCATATAGCAGTCGACTACGTTGTAGGATCCGCCCTCAGGTCGGCAGAACTGCCTGACATTCTCAATCAGTTTTGCCATGCGCACAGTATACGGGCCGCCCACGGATCGCGCACCGTCAAACAGCGGACTCGCTGCGGACACCAGGCGGATCCGCACATCGAACACGTCTTTTTTCCCCAGTTCAACTACTGCAGGAAGCAGGGAGCCTACCATTAGGACCCACGCAACAGGGGGCAATAATAGGGGGTCGGACGTTCAACTGCCCCTTTACTCCTGAACTCAGATAAGCCTGAGAGAGCAGCTGATCAGCCTCAAGGCCAGCTTTTGTTTGGTGACTGATTTGGTAGGCTCTCTTTCTTTCCTTTTTTAAATTTTTTTAAAAGCATGATTTTAAGCGTGAAATTGTAGAAACATGATATTCTTTTTAGGTCATACCATTAAATCAAAGGTGTGTGAGATAATGGTTAAAAATGTGTTTTCTGCTAGAGGGGACTGTGGCCATTCTTGAAAGGTAGATAATTACGTTTAAATTGCAGGTTCTATCAAATCTTTGTTTTAAGGTTCCTTTAGGTATAATAATGTATTGTCTGATTTTAGTTTTAAACAAAGACACTCGAGGAGCCAGCCACTGTTTTTTCCCATGCTTATTAGATTTAGCATGTTTTTTTTAAACAAATCAATTGACTGGGCCATTTTCTGTTGAATTTCTTGTGGGGCTTTGTGCTGTACCGAAGGGGGATGGTAGAGTTGGCTTCTTGCATGCATGTCTTATTGTGTTGTTTGAGTCATCTTCGCCTGCTGTGCGTAGGTAAATTTGATTTAATTGTGGTTTCTGTGCAGTAGTTTAGTCATAATTTGCTCAGGTTTGCCTTGGACCAGCCCCTAGATAAGCTGGTATAGGCTTAGACTACCGGGGGACTTCCTAGGATACACTGAGCTCCTCTCTCCTCTTCTTCATCTCCTTCCTTATGAATTGATGTCCCATTAATGCTCATTACTAACTTTGCTTCTTGCCCGGAGTCTTTGTGCTTTCTCTCCTCACAGGTTTCCATGGATCGTGGTTATATCTGGACCCTGGTCCTTCCTCCCGCCATGGCCCTGCTGACTTCCACTGCTAATATCACTTTTATTATTACTCCCATTACTATTTTATATTACCTATACCATTAGCGCACATTAACGACTTTGCTTCTTCACCGGAGTCTCTGTGCTTTCCCGCCTCGCAGGTTTCCGTGGATCCTGGTTATACCTGGACCCTGGTCTTGCCTCCTGCCGTGGTTCTGTCATATGCATTGAATGTGTTGTAACTCTGTTATGTTGTTCATTCTGTACACATGACATCTATTGCACTTCTGTCCATCCTGGGAGAGGGATCCCTCCTCTGTTGCTCTCCCACAGGTCTCTTCCTCTTTTCTCCCCGTTAAAGGGGTTTTTTGGGGAGTTTTTCCTGTTCCGATGTGAGGGTTCCGGGACAGAGGATGTCGTATGTGTACAGATTGTAAAGCCCTCTGAGGCAAATTTGTGATTTCGGGCTATACAAAAAAATAAATTGAATATTTTAAACTGAGTCAGTTTATTGTTCCTTCTTGGCTTGTAGTTTGAGCTAGAATGTAAGAAAAGATATTTTGTGATTCTTTGCATTCTTTTCTTCGCATCACCTTTCATTGCTTCATACTGTTAAAAAAAACATGCTGTTTCCATATTTTTTATGAAATCTGTCTTAAGAGTTTCCCGAAAACTTTCCTGATTATACTTGTTTTACTTAAGTATCATATCCAATGAAGGACTTTTACTTGTAACAGAGTTTTTTCACAGTGTGATATTAGTGCTTTTTCTTACAGGATCTGAAAATGAAAAGGCGAGTTTGTTCAGGAGCAATTCATTGTTCATTAAAATTTGTTTAATGAAACCCAGAACCTGTTTATTAACTACAATGTATTGACCGTTTTAAATTACTATATAGCATGAAACTCTTGCTTTGACACATGCATTTGAGGACAAATATTGAGGTCATAGAACCAGCAGTTATTTTTCTCTCATAAAGTTATTGCACAACGTAATTTTGCTTTTCATGTGTGCAGTGTCTCTACGTTGCCTACACTGAATCAATCAAATGTCATTTAACAAGGAAGCTGCAATAATAATGATTAGTACTACTTGATAATAGATGAGAAAAGAGTCTGAAATAGAGTTTTTAGATGGGAAGGAGCTGATAAGCTTGCCTGAAATCCATGTTACCATAATGCCAACGAGCAGCAGACACAGAAAACCTCTGTAATTTGTTAAAAGTAAAGCAATTTGAAGAAAGTAAAGTAAAAGTATTGTATGTTTTGTATGTTTTTACTATTGTTAATAAGTATTGTAACACAGACCCGTGTTGTGAGCAGAAATATGTGCACAATGTTGCAGACTGCCGTAATAAAAAAGCTATTTAAGTATGGGTTGGCACTACAAATGTGAATATATTTAATCGTGACTTTTATGCGGTGGAAAGTCATGAAGTTGAAGTACTCTATAATACAGCCCAGAGGATAATCCTGCAAAATTATTTTTATTTATTAATTTTATTTTAGTAGAATAGTTGAAATTGCAAACAGTAAATAAACTTGAAGGATTTGACACGGGATAGCTTAGTGGCGTTACTCTCATGACAACAAAGCCAGCCTTAAAGTCAAAGTTCAGGGTAAATCAACTCTTGTTACAATCAGACATCACACTCTCAACACCATAGCCTGAAACATTCACCCAAATAGTTTAGGAAACCTTTATTTACATAAATAAATTGATGACATAATGAATCATTACAAATAATTCAGTGTTTGTGCCCAGTTTATTCATGTTCAACTGTGGGAAAGTGGCAGAAATATGACTTTATCACAATCATATATATATATGTTCCAGTGGCGGGCCTGCAAGGCCTTCTCTTCTGGCCTAAACAGAATCACAAAGCTATATCTATTTTATAATTTAATATTTTTTCTTAAATACACTACATGTAGTATAATTTATAAAAATATTTTTCCCATTATCTTATTTTCTCATTGCACAGCTACTGTCTTCCTCAGTTGCTCTGCTTCCAGTGCAGCTTGTTTTAAGTAGAGCTTTTATCCAATCACATTTCACCTCTGTGTCTCTAGGTAAGAACAGAGGCAGAGGCCTGCACACACTCACCTGCAGCCAGTGCAGATTAAAGTAAATGGAGACGATATTGTTGATTGTCATAGTGTTCAACCAATCAGATCTTTAGTTTGACATGTTGGGCGTATTCTTAGACTATCAGAGCCTGCGCGCCGGCCTATAATGACGTCAGCATTACATGCGGCTCAGTGTCCGTGTGTAGCTTTCACGCGAGGTTCAGAGTGTGCTGTGATTGGTCAGTGGGCGAGCACGTGACTATCGTGAACCGAAACTTAACAGCCAGCAGAGGCTGATGGGTAGTGAATCACATCACGTGATGCAGCTCAACCAATCAAAATGCATTCTGACTGAGTGAGATGCACCATGAGAGAGGGTGCTGAGACGAGGGAAGACATTGCAGAGCAGTACGATTAACGTTCAGTTTCTGGAAGTAAAATCCTATGATAATCTCTTTGGGTCGCGGCTTGTTATTAAGGAATGACAGTGGATCCCACAGCTGCAGGACGGACAGCAGTGAAGCGGCTTCAACACCGAACGAGCAAGGTAGGCAACTGCCTCGGGGTCACAGACTTGTAAAATCTACAGTAGTCTCATGCAAAAGTACTTGGATAACTGCAACAACAAAAAAATAGGAATATGTACAATACCGGGACCCTGAAACTGAAGCAAACACTTGCAATTTAACCATCATTAAATGGATTATTTACAAATAAATCATCATGATAATAAAAACTAAAGAAAGTATTTCCCGTTAAGGCTATTCACGGAAGTGACGTCATTGCCATAGATCGTATCGTTTAAAGGAGAATCACTCCAGTATTCAAACAATGTCCCAATGACCCGAACTGGACATGTGTACATTCACCCACGCATGCGCGTATTGATCTAAACCACGACAGTTTAGAACCCGTGTAGAAAGCAGTGGCGGGACGGTGTCACCTGACACGTATTTGTACTCCTCTCTAGCTGAGAGTGAGTTTCCACCATAACACCAAAATGTGAACAGGTGCTCCTCTGCTTCTCGGTGCAGATTTTTTTCATTTTTATTTTATTTTCTTATTAATTACGGAAGAGTGAGAGCTCGCTCATCCTCCTCTCAGGGCTCCGTCTGTCTGCATGACGGTGACTTTAGTCCGATGTGCTGCAACAACGTCCCACGTTTTCAGCGGCTCTGCGTGGAGGTGAGACGAGACTGCTCTTTTACACATGTGACCTAAAAGCCGAAGAGACGCTTGAGACACTTCACACAGACACCGATACTTGCAACGTCTTCATGTTTCTCTCTAACAGCTGTCATGTTAGCTTATTGTGTGCCTCTGTCGACCAAACAGATTAATGAACTCGTGGAAGACATTTGAAGGCTCGTGAATGAAGAAATTACAGAAATGAATCTTGTCACTATATTTAAAAACACACACATTTTGCCAATAATACGTCTGTACAAAAGTTTTAAAATCAGGACTGTGACAATTTATGGAGTATTTTTCGTATTACTAATTTTACTAAAGTTAAGGATCTTCACCTTTCACTGTAAATATACTAATATTAATACAATTTGAATGTGTTTTGCATGGGACACTTGCAACAAGTGGTGTGTTTATCCCCCATCTGTTAATAGACATTGATTAACAAGAAGCTTAGTTATTATTACCTTTTGCTTCCTGTTGCATAACTCCCACTCAGCCCGCTCTCTATTCAGATACTGATTTACTTCCTGGTGCTCAAAGGTTGTTTGCAGCTGACCGTCGTTGGTTCCGATATGTGAGAGAGAGAGTCTTCAAAAACTGCAGTTCACCTTGTTCAAACTCGGCTACAAGTAGGTGTGAATTAAACAACCAGCAGAGCTCACCACAGCTCTCTCTAACCTTGATCTAGGGTAAACGTTGTGTCCAGCTTCCTGGAGGAGCACGACACAAACTAAAGTGTCTGAGTAACAGTCGCTCTCAGCAGTGTTTTGTTCTTATTGGACTGTAGTCTTTGCTCCTCAGGGTCCACGATGAGCAAGAAGCTGCTGGTGGATGTAGACTGTGGGGTGGACGATGCTCAGGCCATCATGTTGGCGCTGGCCGCCCCCAACGTGGAGCTCCTGGGCATCACCTGTGTGCATGGAAACACCACGGTGGAGAATGTGTGTAAGAACACACTGCGAGTGCTGCAAGTCTGCAGTAAACTTGAGGTGGGTGGGGTGCAGGAGGTTACTGTTGTTTTCCATACAGTGTAGATATTTTATGATCCTGACATGATTTACTGGTGAGTATTGTCTCTTTTTTTTTATTGACCATCATCAATGTGTTTGTGAGTGCAGCAAGGCCGAGATAATCACTGGCGCCATGTGTGCTGTTTATAAAACTGCCCAACAATGACTTGTTGTTTGTCAAGCCTCATGACATCGGGGCAGGAACTGGACGAAAGGGCACAACCAGTTTGAGCTGATAGCTTGAGTAGAAAAGTAGCATGAGCAGATATCTATATTAGACTACTGCATTCCAAAAGAAATGTTGGAGAAAATGGGAAGTGTGCTCTGAAAAAGGAACTAAAACCAAACATTCGACACAATGTTATTTTTGTGATTATATTAAATATAACCACTGCTTATAATTTACAGTTTTACACATAAAGCGTTTTGTCTCACTCAATGGAAAAGTCTGTTCAATGGAAAAGTCATCAATCCCATCATACCAGTGCCTACAAATATAGATAGAACACTTTTTTTCATGTTGTTCCCATCTGTCTACTGTCAACTGCTGTATCTATTTAAGGTGTTAAATGTTCCCGAAAAGTACTTCAGAAAAGCAAAACGTCATATAGTCCAGATTTGTTAAAGTGTATTTGAAAAACTAGCATAGCATACTAGATATACTACATCTTTGTCAGGACAATGTACAGAAGAGTTTTGTTGATTAATAATAATCATCCAAATATCTGTTTTTGAATAATTCAGTCAGAAGTAAAGTAAAATCATTTAACATCTAATGTGGCTGTATAATTTGCTAAATGATGTCTCATAATTTGTATCATCATATCTTGTAGTGTGAATTAGCATAACAAGGAAAATCACTGCATAAATGGACAGAAAACAGTTTGGAAGCTGTGTAGTAATAACAGCAGTATACATGTTTGTTTCATCTGCTGTGCTCTTCTTTTTCTCAGATTCCAGTGTTTAAAGGTGCAGCTAAGCCGATCCTCGGGAAAAGCATTGATGCGGGACACTTCCACGGACAGGACGGGCTGGGAGACGCTCCTGACCCCAACGCTCCCGGTCTGGACCTGGTTCAGAAGGAGGGCGCTGTGTCGGCCATGATCAGGATTGTCAATGAGAACCCAGGGGAGGTGAGAGAGGTGTTAGACAGGTTTGTGTGTGTGTGTGTGTGTGTTTGCCCCTTTCAGGTCTGTAAGTCTAGGTTTATTCCCCAGGTGTCTCTGGTTGCCACGGCCCCTCTCACCAACCTGGCTCTGGCTGTGAGGATGGATCCGTCTCTACCGAGCAAACTCCGAGGGCTCTACATCATGGGAGGCAACACCGAATGTCAGTGAAATCATGAACTTGAACCAAAAGGTGGTGAAGGTGATGCAGTATTAGAGGGTTAGACAAAATAATGTACTTTGAGGAAATGGACTTTTCCATTTCTTTCACCGGTGCACCTCTAATAAGGATAAGGGTGAGGATTTTCTGCTTTATAAACTGAATATTTTGGGGTTTTGGACTGTTTGTCGGGTAAAACAAGTCAATATTTTCCATAAGTTTCTGCTATTCTGACAAAAACACGAGACAATTAATCGAGATACGATTATTAGCTGCAGCCCTAAGTGTGACGCCAGTGTTTGGAATTTGAATCAAACAACTTCAGAATTTAAATCCTTGTCTGTTCAAGTGTTCTCATTCTGTCCACATCCTGTAACGGTGGCGTTCAGTGTGTAATCAGTGTCTTTCTTTTCTCCTTCAGCTCGAGGAAACACCACGGTGTGCGGCGAGTTCAATTTCACTGCTGATCCAGAAGCTGCGTACATCGTACTGAACGACTACCAGTGTCCCACCTACTTGGCCTGCTGGGAGTTCACCTGCTACAGCAAGCTATCCTGGGCAAGGCTGTTTTACACATTGTAACATTAATTCCTCAGACTAACTACAGCACATAACCCTTTTTAATAAGTTAATGCATCAACGTATTCATCAGAGACACAATCCTGCTCTGTGTTCACATTTTTTCTGGTGTCGACAGGAGTTTTGCGACGCCTGGTTGGGGCAGGACACCGACAAGGCTCACTTCATGGCGCGGGTGTTCCAGCACAGCATCAAGGCGTCACAGAGCAAGCACCTGCAGAAGGAGTTTGTCACCGGCACAGGTTTAGTCTCCAGCGACTCGTACGCCATGGCCGCCGCCGTGGACGACTCGTTCATCACAGAAAGCGACCATTATCCGGTCAGCGTAGAGCTGACGGGCACGCACACCAGAGGCATGATGATCATGGACACTGTGGGCTTTCTGAAGAAGGCTCACATGGCTTGCATCATGAAGAAGGTGGACATGGAGAAGTTCAAGCAGATGATGATGGCCGCTTTAAAATGATGTTAATGTTATGGTTTACCACAATTGTGCGACGTCGTCATAGAAACAGTTTTTTACACTAGAAATCATGTGTTTTGATGACAGAACTTTATTTAAAGTGTAATAAACTCTTTCTTTACATTTTATTCATTACATTAAGTTTCTCATAGCACACACACACACACACACACACACACAAAGAAAACAGCTCCAGGGTTTGTCAGCACTACATGTTGCAGAGTTGGTAATCCTTTTGCGTACATTGTTCTTTTAACATTTGGTAGTCCTTTCCTCCCCACTTCCTTGAAACATGCGCTTCAGATGAGGTTGTGATACTGCACTGACCCGTGAGCAGCGCTGATGGACGATTTGAATCATTAGACGTGTTAACACTTGCTCTTCCAGCATTCACTCTACCACGCGGCTGCATCAGGCGGTTCCTCAGTAGCCTTTCCTTCCTCTGAATCTCGACCTATTGTCCAGCTGTCAGAAGAGGACAGACATTGGTCAGCGCGCAGCTTAAAAACAAGTCGAGTTATCTTTGTGTAAAATTTAATGTAAACATCAGGCATTTGTTTTCAATATGCTTCTGGTCACCATGGGAAAACACAGCTTACAGACACAAATGGCAAGAGGAAGATAAACATTCCCTGCACTCTTTACTCCTCCACATCCCACCGGTTCCTTGTTGCACAAATGTTTTCAGAAGTGCAATGTAATTACTGCTGACTCACCATTGACCTTTTGCACTCAAAGAAGGATGTCTGCAGGGCTTTGCAGTGGCCTTCCTTCAAACACTCACTGGGCAGCTTCCCCCCCTGACAAATTAAGAAACCAGTTATAATACACTAAGCACTTCCCATGAGCACAATGTGCATTCTCTCCCACAAATATATTAGAACCTGATGTACAAGTCACATTGACTTGTTTGAACAAGGTTTAACACTGAACACGTAAATCTAAGCTTGTAATGCATCCGATGCTTTCTGATGGTGCGAGATGCTTTGACAGAGCAGTAGCTTAGCTTACTATAACTTAATCATCTTAAGTAGTTATGGTTACCGGCATTGCGTTAGCTTGTTAGCTAGCAAACGAAGCAATACGTATTCTATAATAAGGAGTAAAGTTGACACCAAATTGAACCGCGTCTCACATCAACTCGATATTAAAAGGTCCGTTTTTACAGTCGAGTTCGGCGTTACGTTCAGTTCCGGTTTGTTACAAACTGCTTGTGGTTGGTTGTTACAGAGGTGACTGGTTGGGGTTACGGTTCAATTTAGGTGGCTTAAAGGTGACTGTTCAACTCCAGGCAGTTGTAGACTAACGTTAACATTAATATGGTCCAACAACGGGCCGTTTCAAACATGTACTTATTACATCTTACTTATGTTACGATCAGAGGACGTTCACTTACCTTTACCACGCAGTCGTGCTGAAGGAGACACGCCTTGAAGTCCTCTCTGATGCCGGAGCAGGCTCTGGTGTCTTCCTCTTTGTCCTCGTAATATTTCGGCATTTTGCAGAATCCACTTTAACACCAATGTTCACTTATTCATAAATTCGCAAGAGCAAGAATGCGCTAGTTAACGGTGGCACCAATGTTATGAAAGCTCTCAGCCGCCATGTTTCTCAAACTGCATGATGGGAAAACGGAAGAACATCGGCGCAGAGAAGTGCATGCTGGGAAGGTTTGTAGTTTCTTTTTATGTAAACAAAACGTCTAATTGTGAAAACTAAAACAAAATTACTTATCATGGATCTTCTGGTCATGTTCGCAATAGATTTACTTTGCTTTACAAATGTTCCGAAATCAAACCTGGTGATGCAAATGGCATTAGTAATGCAAGTAGAACAAAATCACAACACAGAAAATGGCTATGACTTCGAACAATTTTTATCATTTATTTCAAAGATCTCCATGAAAAATGATTTCAAAAACATCAGAAGCAGACATACACATGTGCACGATGAAGGCACATGAACTGATAGGTGTATGCATGGGGTTGTCAATCAAGGGAAGAGTTCCCTTCTTCTTTTGTCCCTAGTCCACTTCCACCGAATACAGTAGGGGGAGATTCATGACTGTTCATGCTGTTTTCATGCATTCACTTCCTGTCTGTGCATACAGGCCAAGAGGGAGAAGCCGATCCTGTTGGCAGTACTGAAAATGTCTTTCCCCTTTTTAAAACATGTTCCACCATTTAGGTGGCTTGCTCTCATCTTCTCCCAATTAAAAAAAAAATAATCTGATGAAGAAGCGGCGATCAAGCGTTCAGCTTAAAAATCTGTTTTCTTGACTACAGCTCTAGCATGGATGGTTTTGATCAGAGGGGTGGAGGAGCTTGCTCTGACCAAAAAAAAAAAAAAAAACATTGTTCATGAACTACAAATAATGATCATGCATGTGAACAAGATTAGCAAAAAATCTATTCCACCAAAAGGCACTTAAATAAACCATTAAGATGCAAAATGAGTCAAGTTTCATTTAAATGGCTTCCACTCAAAACATTGGCCACACGCACACGAACACAAAACATGTCAAGTGAATTTCAATAAACTATTAAATGAGGCAGGAGAGCGAGAGAGTGAGAGACAGAAAGACAGATAATGCTTATTTAAATATTTGCAATCAGTGAAAGTACTACATTACAGAAACCAAATCATACAACAAAAAGGCGCACTTTGCAATAATCAGTAGTCATAGTATTTTGTCCAATCACAAAACAGATACTCGATTAGACAAAAGATTGTTATGTAGATTTGGAGGAGTCAGTGAAATGAGCATCGTCTATGCAATGGTGAAGCGTGTGGTGATAACAAAAATAGTGAAAAAGCAGTGCAAATCATGCCATTTCAGATGGTAATCTGGTACAAAACCCACTCTTTTTATCACTTTCACATGGCGCAACACAGAAATATTGTTAACACCCAATCCCTAATTGGACAGTGTGTGTTATTTAAAAAATATTAGTATATCCAGCAATCAAAGTGTAGGCAAGCGCGAGAGATTGGAATAATGTTGCTGAGACAATTTCAAGGGACCTGGATATAAGGCACATTTTTTCCAATTTTGACCCACAACTTCTTCAAGAAAATCTATTCTCATCTCTCTCCAACCATTCAGACTTCAAGAAATCAAAATAAATCGTTTTAGTTGTTACGTTTCACTTCAAGTGGAAAGAAACTGGTACAGACCGAACCAAGCTACTTGCACCAGCAGACAAAAGCAACCTCGCAAGTAGCTGCAATAATGAAAGGAAAATGTAGAGTAGTGATTTTGAAAAAAAAAAAAATTACACAAATAAAACTCTGAACTCTGAACTACCATAAACATCTCTTAATAGAATAAAAATATATTTTACCTCTTGTACAAATTAAAGATTTATTTCAAATAAATTAAGTCACCTTCATAGATCGTCAAAGCTGTAATAATATATCAATATAACAATATATTCCTTCAGGAAAATGACGCCAAGGCAATGTCTGATTGGTTTACTATAAATGGACACTGAGGTCATACACAGCCTGTCAGACAGGAGGTGAGACAGATATAGTGTCGTGGTACTTTTCTTGATGGATTGGGGTAGTTACCATGGAATCTGGCCTACGGTAGGGTCAAAGTTGTTTACTGACCGGCTACAGGCAGGGTTTAGGAACAGTGAGCTCATCCTGAGTTTGTTTTTCAGGACAAGTGGAGTATTTGAGCGTGGCTGCTGACAATACTCTGGGAGTGAGGGAAGCGTCGTCGTTCGGGCTGGTGTTGCTCGAGAGCTCCGTCATCTCTGTCGAGAACAGAGAGCAACTGGCTGTTAGTGATCACAACATATTTGACCATCGTGGGCTTCTGCTGGGGCGCTAGTGACAGTGCAATGCCCCAGCTGGCCCCAAGGTGGCAGCATTGAGTAACAGGAGGAGGATTTGGCAGCATCTACACCAGTGGGCCAGCTGACTGGTTCTCCCCAGATGTGATGATTTGTCCTCGTTAGTCCAAGCGTTGTCCGATTGTGTTCAAAGCTGCTGAACATCAGTCACTTTGAGAGCGGGAGCTGGGAACAGATGTCTTCACACACTCCACGGTTGTTCTTTAAGACAGTAGTATTCACATTCTCACAAATGATTAAGAGCACAAGAGTGCGGGGGCGATGCAGAAAGAAATGGAGAAATCGATCAATGAGAAGCAAAACAAAGTACATTAGGAACAGCGGGGACAGAGAGGTGGCGTTCCTCAGACAAGCTCAGATGGGCAACTCTAGCGGGCTCTCATGACTTCACTGCTGGTTGCTGGGTGCCAGAGGCCCTGCGTAAGCAATCTAGGAGGATTTTGGTCCCCCAAGGGCCATGATTCATGTGCCCGCTCCAGAACAGTCAGCCAGCTATCCGTTTTATATGTACCTGCAAGAGGAAAGCAGAGCATCACATGTGTAAATGGATAAAAACAAGGAGGCAGTGAGCGTCTGGAGAAAAGTGTTTTTTATGATCGGATTTGACAGGAGAAGAAAACAGGCGTGGTGTGTGATTGGCTTACTTCACTGAGGATGGCCCACACTGCTGAGTCTTTGACAACTGAAAGCCGAAGTGCTATGATGGGATTGAAAGAAGGATCTACAGCACCTTCGGCCACACCTTTCTCAAACTGACCTGTGTCGATAGATAGATAGATGTATACTTTATTCATCCCCAGGCGGAAATTTGTTTGTAGCAGCAGCAAGCAAAAAGTGTGTGTGTTTAAGCACACACACAAAGCACATGGGAGGTATTATTAATCATATTTATAGATGGGGTACAATACACAGTCAATATTTAACTTGGGTATTTATTAACTGACTCACTGGAAGATTATGAACTTTATTCAACCATCACATTTCAAAAAAAGCTAAGAAACAAACAAAAAATATCTGCAGGAAGAGCAGAAAACTCCAGATAACATTTAGAAGAAAAGGGCAGTGATTGAGAACATTTCACACACCGTCTGTCTATCACTGTAGGTGTATTGTATAATCTGCCCGGGCTTTTCCAGTGTGTTTGTATGCACTTGCACGCACGCACGCACGCGCACACGCACACGCACACACACACACACACACACACACACACACACACACACACAGCAAGTCAGTCAAATCCACCTACCGATCCTGTAAAAGCGGTCTTCAGTTCGCTTGTACTTCTCTTTGGTCTGCAGTCCAGGTTCCTAACATACGAACACAGGGAAAGATGGATAGCAGAATAACATATGAGACAAGCTGAATTGTTAATGATTTGTCATTTGAGCAGATGCTAGTATCTGTGCCGAGACTGGTAGTGTGAATCGCAGTGTCAGAATGTATCGCAGCGAACGATTCTGTCAATAATCAATAGGCTATGTCCTAAGAGCAACCACTCAATGGAATTTAATCAAAACCGTTTGCACAGCACAGAAGGGTTACAGACTGTGTGTGTGTGTGTGTGTGTGTGTGTGTGTGTGTGTGTGTGTGTGTGTGTGTGTGTGTGTGTGTGTGCCCCTACCGAAACAGGCAGTATTTCCACTGTTGTGTTCTCGATTTTGTCCCCCGGGTGCTCTTGATTACCACTGCGAAACAGGAACCTGCCAACCAAATCAAGCATTCATTTTTAATATTGACGTCCATGGATAAGTATTTTTGCACTTTGCCCTCATGATAAGCTGCCACTCAGATGCACACGGCCCATCATTACATAGTGACATAGAGACTATGCAATGGTGTTGCATGTAAATGAACGGTTTAGTGTTCGGTCTGCCATAAATCATCTCTGCTCAATGTGAGACTGCCTCGTCTGCCCTCTACTACGCAACCCTTGCAACTCAAAAGGACCTTGCAGTGTTCAATAAAAATACAAAGGACTGTGTAAAGAAATGGGGAAACTGTCATATAACCATCACGCTTCAGTGAAACGAAAAGAAGAAGAATGTGAGATTATTGTTTCTGTGCATGGTCCTTGTTTAATAAAGACGAATAAATCTCAAGTCACTTGTGGGCAGTAGGTTAGTCAGGCAAGTTATGTTTATAAAATTAAAATGTGGGTTTGCAAAAGTGTGCACACCCCTTTTGTCATCGGGTTAACGGTGAGTGGGATATACTTTCAAAGCTTATGCTTCTCAGATCTTATATTCAGGTTATAGCTACAGGCTCTGAACAGAAATTCCAGTATATCTTCCATTTTAGCCTACTGAGGGATCTCAGTATATTACAGAGAGTATGATTTGATTCAACAAAGCATGCGCACAGTGTGGAATATGAGCTGCACTTCAGATTTAGGGTCAGATTCAAAGAAGAAATAAAACAACCATGAATTCCTTACTTTATCCGAAAGAAAAAGGTTGTTTTCAGATCACTGGTGCACCGAATTTACTCGTGTTAAATGTTTTAACAGCCGGAGAGTAGGAGACGGGGGAAGAATGCCCGCCAGAGACAAAGACAGTGACGGATCATAAAGCATTTTGTATCTCCTGACCAACTGCTGATGAGATGTTGTCTAATCAGCATAGCAAAAGACTCTGAACCAGTTGGTGCCATTAATTGGTGCCATTCAAAAGCAGACAAAACACTCCAGAGTCAGACAGTAGAACACTAGACAGGCCCTGTCCCACTCACTGCCACTTACTTGCTGAGTGACTGACAGACTCGCACACTCGTCTCGCTGACCGAACATTATCTTTACGAGAGCAGCGGATACATTCATCGCTGTAAAATGAATATCCCCGTGACCAAATATTAACATCGCTTTCAGGTCTGCTCTGATGCGGGCTGTCAATTTCGCTATCAGCTCTCTTTCTATTCACCATCTTTCTCCCACTCTACCCCGGCTCCACAGAGAGTAGGAGGCAGGCCAGAGAATGCTTATTTTAGAGCACTCTCATTAGCTCAGCCTGATCCCTGAACACACACACACACACACACACACACACACGCATGGAAATCATTCGACCCACACACACACACACACACACACACACACACACAAAGTGAAAAGATCTTTGCATGTGCCCGTATGTGGAAATCTTATGATCATGATGATATGAATGATATGCGCGCTCCCCAAATGATTTGAATGCAAGCGATAAGAGGCCGTGCACACAAACATGTCACAGTCACATAAAGGCCTTCGTACGTACTTCTCTATGCTAACAGGTCGGTCAAATTTGAAGAGGATGTAGTCTCCTGCAGTGGGAGTGATGGCCCAGAAGAAGTCCTCTCCTAGGTACGTCTTCTCCAGCGTGTGACCCTGATATACCTGTGTAACACAAAACACATGTGTTGTTCCACCTTGATTGATTTTGAAGTTGGGGGTTATTACAAGAATTAATTATTGCTTTTATGATTGTTTTAATGAATTAGAATATACAAATAGGTCCATATTGCATAGAAATAATAAATACAATACGAGGACAACAACACAGAGATATAATCAGTGCTGTTCACATGTCCATGTTCACATATGATTAAAAACGGAGAAACATTTATTGTAATGTCACTTTGTGTTGGCTCGGATTTTGAAATGAGTGCATACAATTCCTCAACACAGCAGGTTGAAACTATAGATAACTAACTGTAAAGCAAAAGATCCAGAGATAATATCTTTTATTGGAACCCTGTCATGATACCTTCACTGAAGTAGAGACCTCAGCTGGGGGGTTGACGTGCATCTTATGGAGCAGTGGCTTCAGGAAGTCCTTGTCCTACAGACACAGACAGAGGGGAAATCAACGTTTCTACACAGGAAGTAGCCTCTACTATTCTTGCAAATAAATAACTGTGAGGGCGTGAGACTGACTGTGAGTTTTTGGATCTTTCCAGCAAGAGAAGAATGGAGTCCCACGTGCTGAAACAGGGAAGGTCTGAACCGCACACGTAGGCTGGACTTCTGCCGCTCGCAGTGTTTCTTTAAAAAAAAAAAAAAAAAAAAAAAAAAAAAAAAAAAAAAGGACAAGGGAGGAATGACTACACCCACTCCCCTTACAAGGTCACTCGTATCTATACAGTAATCACAGTGCATACCGCATCTTTCTCAGGATTGCAGACTTTCACCCAGAGAATATGGTCCAGCAGCCAATCGATGGGCTTCTCCTTGTAGAACATGAAAATGAACTCAACAATGAGGTTCAGGTCCGGAGCCTGGAACATTTTCCCTGTAGGAAAGAGAGAATCAGGGGGTTTACAGACATTCATTGGTTCTACACAGAAGCATTCAGCATCATTAACAACGAGATGATTAAACCATTACGCTGAACAAAAACAAGAATTGTTTTGTTTGGACTAAAAATATACCCACTCCTCATTTACATATTGTAGTGATGTGCCCTGCCAAATCATAGTACTTTACAATGACCTAAGTTCTATGCCGATCAATATCATTTCCATCTTTTCTTCACTGGCTGCTGCAGATCCATCATTGGTGCATTTGGCTGTTTATCATAAATCCAACAAGTCTCAGAGCACGTGAATGCTTTGCCGAGTGGATCTGAAAATCCTGAGTTAAGAGAATGAGTTGATGATCACTTTTGCGAGACAGTTTAGCAAGCAAGGCCACTGGTTTGGCTTTGCAGATCTTGCAGCATTCGACAGACCCCCCCGCCCGGTGGATACCGAGTATTGATCGCATGCTTAATGTATCGTACCGATGAAGCCCAGCTGAGAGAACTCCAGGATCATCCAGTCCTCTGACGAGAGCTGCAGGGCAAAGTTCTTCATAGTGGCAAAGTAGTTGGGCTTGGCCACAATGTCATCCTCCAGCTGAGGGAACAGAGGCACAGACAGACGGGAGAAAATACTTTTTAAGAGTTGACGAATAATGTAGATGGAGAGGGTGAGAAGCAGGAGGGGGGACTCGGGGACTACACTCTGAACTGAGCTAAGACACACTTCTATGTTGCTACACTAAACTAGAGTAGACAGACACTACCTCTTCCCTTCAGGTGAGAGCAAAGAATGGAAATGACACACGCCGTGAATGAGAGGGGAAAGATGGGTGATTAACAACACAGTGAAACGGAAACTGCAGACGGCTGGTGTTAGCTATTCAAATCTGCTGAGAGTAAACATTTGTATAAACATTCCCAAATTGGACACCTAGTTTAGCCAAGAGGACAGATAAGAGCTGTAGAAGTCTCAGAGGATTAGGCTAAGAAGAAGTGAAACTGGCCCCCAGTCTGATGAGAAACAACACCGGCTCTGATGAATGACTGCAACAACACGCATTTGCTTCAAGTACTCGCCATGTTTAATTTTGGTATGACATGCTCCAGACTAAAAGCAAACCAGTGTTTGCCTGGTAACAGGCTTTCACACCGACACTGACACACACGAGTAACTGAAGCCCTTCATAAATGCGCTCCAGCGAGAGTTGCTATGGAAACATTCCTTTTATTCATTTATCTCTTTAAGGACATACCTGGACATAATAAACTCCTTTGCTCACAGCATACATCATCAGGAAGGAATAGTCCAGATTCTGCTTGGTTCGCCATCTAAAACAAAGAAGAAAGAAGTCATCAACACGCATGATGAAACTATATATGAATGAAAACTCACGTCACCTCGCTGTATTTGAAAGGTTTCCCTCTTAGACATAAGAATCACTGCTTCACATGCAAACAACTCAGTTGTGCAAATCAGGTAATCCCAGGTACACGGAACAAAAGACTCTGAATAGTTTATAGAGCGATGCTGTCACACTAATGATTTGATCGGCATGATCTGCCCTTATTGCAGTCCGACTCATGGCCGTTCACCAGGGTGCAGGTGTTGAAGGTGGCACTGGCACGCACACGCACCACCCCCCCCC